AATAAAGTTTTTATAGCTCCAAGGCAAGGTAATTCATGAAATGTCTAATTTAAAGATGAATTCTAATATTATTAATAAATATTTACCAGTTTAATAAAGTGCACATTTTTCACATTAAATATGATAACAGTTTTCATTTTCTATTTTTGAAATATAGATCAATGGCTGGAAAATCTGAGTACTGAGAAGCATTTTGTGAGTTCAGAGGAAAACTGCACAAGGACTCTGTCAGTGTTTTTATATTTCCTGATGTTACCCAGCATTTACGAGCAGAGGAGAAAAAAGATTACTGACTACAACGCGGTGGTGGGAGTCACTCCATCTCACAGTATCACACAAATCAAGCAGTTATCAGGAAGTGCCTGACACACGACCCTCCCCACATTGCTCCTCTGTATCATATCCCGCAATTCTTCATCAGCTCTCTGTGACAAAACTCCACACACATCCCAGAACACAGATTTGAAATAGCAGTCACCCTAGAAAATATCACCAGATTACGGTACATGAAGGCAGGAGCTCCCCTAGGTCTTCTCTTCGACCAGTGTGGGAACAAATCCTTACCACTGGAGGCAATGTAAACCTTTACTCAGTGTAAGTATGCAAAAAAAAAGACCACTCCAAGTCAGGTTGCAAACCACTTGATAACACTGAAGGGACACGCAACACAAGACTGATGTAACTTATGACATTTATTACATATTCCTGAAGAAATTTCTTTGGATCCAGTCTACACACACTCCATTGCTTCAGTTTACAGGTGTAACATTCTTGACTCTAAGCTTTTATTATTTTTTGCTGTCTTTGGCACTCAACAAATCACCCAGCAGGTCCAGGGTATACAAAAGCCCATGCACAAAGAGATCTGAAAAGTACCATATCCTTCATGACCTGTTTCAGGCAGTCACTGCTTTGTGTCTATAGACTTACTGTACTAAACTCTGTATTTCCTAAATAGTGAGCAGCTTGAGCTTCTTTCTGTATTAGTGCTAGCTACTCTTCATCATCTCAGAGGAAACATTAAAATTAGCAATGAAGTTGGAAGCCTGAAGAATTCCAGATAAATTTGCTGTGCGATAATTTGTAACTAATTAATTGTCACTCACCAGAATAATACAAAGAAAAAAAGATTTACATGAAATTATAACATGACAACACAATGACCCTTATTACAGTCCAGCAGCAAATCTGTATTTTCACTTCACCAGGTTTAGTAAAAGGTCTATGAAAAAGCTAATCAGAGTAACTATGGTTGATGTAAAATATCTGTTCAAGCTAATCATTCACCCTGTCTTTAATATCCAATACAGAATCTCATTCTAACTGTAACCACTGAGTTTAAAATGCTAAATATGATAAACTGACTCACAGCTATGTCTCATCTCAGGGAGTAAGAGTGTCACTGCTCAAAGCTTAAGGAACCCAGGCAGAGAGACCCTCAAAAGCCAACAGGGGAATGTACCAATGGAACCTCCTTCCATGATCACAGCCATAGAGTATGGATAGACTCTGAAGAAGTCTTGATACATCTTCACTTTTTATTGCTCTAATGACCAGAACTGAACACCGGAATTGGCCGAGCAGATCCATCTCTCATCTCTACCCTTGGCAAGATCATTCCACCCCTTTCTAGAGGGCTTCAGAATAGTCCAGGAACATAGAAATCAGCTCAGCCTGCCCACAGTCTCCAATCAGAACAGGAGCACTGGGCAGAAGAAAGTCTTTTCATAGCTCTGTATTTCTGAGTGTGATTCAGGCAATGCATCCCTACAGGAGTTGTAAAAAAATAGATTTCCATTTATAACTATTTAGCCCATGGAGTATACAGAAAATAGGGAAGTATACACAGATATTATTGGTGGCATACTGTGTCTGGCTCCCTTTCTAAGCTACTCTCAACAGTGTGCTTTCAGAATATCCTGCAGGCTGTCAAGTGCAGGTCCTACACCCAAAATGTAGAGAAGCAATTCCTACTCATGCTGTAGTACATTCTGGCCAAAGCAATGCTCTTTCAACACATTACGCCAGTTATCAACTGTATAACAAATTCTTGAAAACTAACAGCAGAGAGGTACATGATGCCAATGGATATGGGCTTCCAAGTCTGTTCCCAAAATTAAAATTCTATGTTTATAAAGCCTGAGTGCTTTTTTACAAGAGATCTGTTTACACATGGTATAGCATTGTGCTGTACATTAACAACCATGTTTATCTTCCTGAATCCACCGATAGTAAACCTTTAAACATTTGCCAACTGCCTCAGGGAACTGAATAATAGCATATCATTGTTCACTGTGCTACACTGACAACATGTGTCATCATTCATACAGAATACGCCTGCACATAATGCAGAACGTTGGCAAACGCTTGGTTGGACCAGAATACCAAGAAATCACACATATCTTCAGAGAGGTCAATTAAAACTGATACACGACACAAAACTATATTATTATGCTTTGACAGACAAGATTTTGCAACTGAAATGCAGAACTGAACCTACCATGTGCAATCCGTTGCTGTGGATGACGCCATCTTGCTCCATGAGATTTCGGGATATAGTAATGGAGGGGAGATCCAAGCTCTGAGGGGGAAACTGGGGTGTAAAGTCATTTCCTTGTGCTGTCAGCTGGTCACCAAGGCCCTGAAAGGGCAGCAGGATGTCTGCCATCCCCAGTGCAGGGTCTGACTCGGGCGGGGGTGTAATAGGTGGGATTTCGAACTCCTCATCCCCCAGGCTCGGCGTGTGGAACGTCTGCTAGAAAAAGACAGAACAAGGCAAACCACATTAGAGCACACTGTTATCAGCAGCCACACTTGACCAGTCATTCAAGTCTTGTTTTATACTCAAATGCAAACTCTATACATAATTATAAAATTAAAAAAAAAAAAGTTTCATATACTAACAGGGTTTGTGGATCATTCTGATTAAGGATTTAAGTCTAATTATCATATGGCTTTAATAGAGTATCAGTATTAACAGTTTTTTAATGCGTGCTTAATTAGCAACATCTGTCTTTGTTGTTAGTCTGAGTATCAGCTACACTGGATTTGGCTGTATAACAAATTGCCACTTTATTGATATGTTAGTGAAATAGCACAAACAGCTTATATTGCTCTCATGCTTCATAAAATATCAACAATTTTGTAGCACACACACAACATTAATTCAGAACTGACCATGCCACATCTTTTGTCTCCTTTTTGCCTTCTTCATAAACATGAAATACAACAATTCTGGTCCTTATTTCTTCTCCATCCCATAAGTGCAATGCATCCTTCTACATGCCAGTTTTGTAATTTGGAAGAGAGCAATGTACAAAACAGCGCGGGTGATTACCACAGCTTTGTAAAGCCAGCCAGCTTTGTTTAAACAGTAGGTTTGTTGCAAACCAAACACCTGTTAAGATGCCTTTAGCAAAACATTTACTGCCAGTTATCTACAGTGTCTGTGCATGTTCGTACATGTGCATGTGTATGTCGTAGACGATCTTTATTCAAGCAGAGCCTGTATCTGGCTTCAACATTGCTGACTTTTATTTGGCAAACAAATGAGCTATGCTTATTCAAATTTCTTGCGAGTTAAATGAACTTTCATATATTATTTCAGGTCCACTGCTACTTAATAATAGAAATCCAGTGCTTGAAATTAGGCCATTTTAAATGGACCCAAATCAGGACTGTCTTGATCAAACTGGGCAGTTGGCAATCCTAAAATAGGCACTCTGTCTTGTTCTGGACATGCAACACTGCTCTGGGACTTGTTTGTTTGTATTAGTTCAGGATTCTAGATGAGAGGGGGGAAATTGTTTTATGTATTATTTACATTGTTTGAAAGAGTGACTTAATGCCAGTTAATTTTAAAATGATATGTTCAGTGAAAGATCTCATTAACTGCCGCAAATTGTCATCCTTCAAACTGTTAATGATGATATAAATTAATAACCGCTTCAGAGAAGATGGAAACTGAAACACAGGAAAAACCTTTGCTTGCATATAGAACCTGTCAGCTGTCATTATTGGTCTCGCACCAGAAATGATGAGGTCCCAGACTGCTGCGGTCTGCAGTACCGTCAGCCTGCTGAGATGTGAGCACAATGCTGTAACTTAATTCTGGACGTGAAGGCTGGGCCTGGATGTTTGACTCTGCTGTATCACAAAAGGTGTGATTTTTTCTCCCTGTGGATCCCTTAGTCCACAAACACAAAGGATGGATTGGCCACGAGAAGTGGTTGGCTAATGAACATAACCCTATGGCTGCATTTGCAGTTATTTTGGCACTAATGTGGTCTAGTAACAGATGCAACTGTAATTTGTGACTCATTTGCTACCCCATTACTGCTTAATGAAATCTAACATATCACATTAACAATACGGATAAACACTCATTCTTGATATGTGGCATTTGGCTGTTTTCATTACCACTGTAATTAACACTTGAAATATTATTTCAATAAATATTTAAGGTGTTTTAAAATGGGTCGTGGTAATCATGACATAGAGACAGAAAACATAAAGCAAATGTGAAGCTTCTTAGCCTGAATGTGCTCTAGGATTACACTCTTAAGGCATTATTTACAGGAATAAAATGGGCTTCCAGCTTTGCAGTGCTCATGCCCAAAATGCTAGCGAGAAATCTACAGTCGTGCTAATGTAAAAACACTATAATTAAACCCATTGTAATACAGTAATTGCAAACTTAGGCTTGTGCTTTAATGCAAGTGCTAACACTTAATGATATTTTCATTCCTTGTTCAAGCAAAAGGGTTCTGTGAAATCAGTATCATAGTGCATTTGAACCTCCCTTTACCCATTGTATTTATGAGATAGTAGTAATTAAAAAAATTGGATCTTCTTTCCTCATCTAGTAGAATAAATCTAGGACATCTGTGTAAATATGTAACACAGCCAGACAATAATACTCTATTTTACTTAGAGAAACAACATTGATCTAAGTAGCCACAGCTTAGTATAAAAGGGAAAGTGAATTGATGAATGCCATAACAATTTTTTAATCGTAAATTTAATTCTCACAGTGTAACTTTTCCTAGTACGTGTGTACCCTTCTAAAAAACATATCAAGGACTTAAGAATGAAGATGAAATAGATGTACTCTAAGAAGAAAGAAAGCCCCTAAGTGAAGAAGTCTTAAATTCAAATCACTGGGCCACTCAGACCGCAGAAGGGCTCTGCATAGCATGCAATCCAGGATTTCAGAAAGGTGCTGTTATGCCTAAAAGAAGGTCTAACATTTGTGAGATTCATCTTACCTTTTTTTTTTTTTAACTTATTAACTTTTCAAATATTTATAAAAACACACAGACACAAAAACTGTGTGCATGCTTAAATGCCATCTGTACTGAAATGTTCAAAACATTTGTTCCTTTTGATAAAAATGCAAATCTGGAGAACTGTTGTATCAACATATAACAGCCAATGTCTGACACGGTGAATTATCACAGCTGGAATTAAATTGTCTCTGAACAGCTGCTGGCAGCAGAGCTTTCATCAATGTTTGATTCAAATGTAGGAAAGAAATTCTACAGAAAGAAACATCATGTTGTCATTACAGATGGGGTTTGTGTTCATTATCACAAATAACACTGGAGCTAGTGCCAAACAATATTCCCTTATCTAAGCAGTCTTGCTGGGTAAAAAGAGATGGTGGCCATTGTATAAGTGATTCATAAAATAAGACTCTTAATTCCAATCTTCATATTTATTGTTACACTCTTCTACTTATTTTCTCCGAGATTTTTTTTTTTTTTTTTTTTTTTTTAAATATTCTGAGAATACTTGCAACTGAATTACCACTTACAACATGTGAAGTCATTGCTGCCCAGTTTTTAACCTTCTTATGTCTGGAAGATCATTTATGGGATGCACGCTATATAAAAACAGCGTTCTTTACATTGACACACAGATTACAAGGCAATGCCTCCTGCACTTTCCATCCTTTCACTCTTTGGAATAAAAGATGTTGACTCTTAGCAATGAGCAAAAGGTGTTTCTGTATGGAGCTGGGGTCAATATTAGCATGTTGATAGACTATCAGCTGACTGCAAGGGGCCCCCCTGTAACAACAAATGCACGCAGGCCATAGCTGCCATGCCTTCCTCCCATCTCCCACCCAAAACCACTGAGCACACCTCTCAGCTCCCAGCCCAGGCAGCCCCCCCTGCCCAGCCCAGGTTTGTTCCCAGCCCTGTTCCCTCATGCAGCATGCAGCCTTCAGGAACAAAGTTAGATTTGTTCTTCTAACTTAGCTGACTATTAAGAACCCAAATTAAAATATTTGTATCTATAGCAAAAATTACACATTAGCTAGGATTGCCTGTTACTAAGCTTGTTTATTTGCTTCCTTCTGTTTATGATTTTTTTTTGTACATAAAGCAGAATTGTTTCTATTGACATGCCATGTAAGTAACAGCCTTATGGACAGCTAAATTGACTAGTAATGGAGAGCTGTCAGGTTATTTTCTTTCTCATTAAAGTCTTTATTTTGTGCTCCATAAAACACACTGAAATTCAGCCCTTCATTCTTCACCCATTCACAGTCTGTTAAATTATCTAAGCACAGTAGAATATAAGCATAGATAAAACAAAGAAAAGAAAAACATCTACCTCATTTGCAGCAAGAAATGCATTATTTGCCTCTGCCATGTTCATGTAGTTGTTATTGTTTCCAAACTGAAAGAAAAATAAATATTTGTATTTTAATGCATGCCACCATTTTCATTTTCCATCATGAAAAATGTTTGAAAATACAAAAACACAAGACAAACAGATAAGATGTGATTTTGCAGATGTCCTCTGAAGTCAGAATCAGATTCCATGTGACAGTGTTGTGATTATTACATTCTCTGCATCCCCAGACCTGTACACGAAAGATCTCCAAGTGCATTTCTTTGACCTTCTGTGTACCGAGGCCACCCCACAGACCTACAGATGCCTTTGGAAATCAAGTGCTCATTACTAATGGACTATTCCCCATAATAAATAAATAAATAAATAAATAAATAAATAAATAAATGCTTTTCCTGATGCACATAATCGTACTTTGCAGATGATTCTGATCTTGTGGACAGCTGTAGCTAGAAGTAGCTGCTGTATTAAAAGAGATGAAGGTAAGAAAGGGAAGAGCATCTGCAATGTTGCTTTTAAAATGCCATTCTATCTACAAACTAAATAGCCAAACAATCCCCCTTTGTCCATCACTCATTCCAGTTGAGCTCCCACTCCCAAACAACCTGGAAGGCCAGGAGACTTCACCCATCAGAGGAACTGCTTTGTGCTGAGATCCCGAGACGTGCCCAAGGCAGAGGTGCTGAGTGCCTCACTCATGCAGTGCAGCTCCCATGGGGGTGAGCAGGAAGGACTCAACAGATGCCATCAAGCCATTTCAACCCAACATTGAAGTACGAACATTTGTGGGTAAACATAAGTACTTTTTCTTCTGTAGACTGAGCACAGAAAGGAAAAGACTATCAGCATTTGGCTAATTGGCACTGAGCATGCTTATTCTCATAAAAGGCATTTCCAAAAGGCAGGCAGGTATTTGATTTGAGGAACAGACAGCACACGTTCAAGTTTCTAGTCTTGGGCACAGCACACATTGCAGAGATCCCAGTGAAAGCGAAGCATCACCACCACGATGCCCAGCCTTGCAGTGCTGCCCCCGGGTCTGCACACAACACCTCCTTATTCTCATGTTTGTGACTTCTGCAAAGCAACTTTTTCCGCTGGCTTTCGTTTTATCTTGCCAGACTCCCTGCAGCATTCAGGAACAGAGGGGGACCGTAGAGCAACTCTTCCAAGAGTGTTTCTTTCCCATAAAAATCCAAATTCATTTCTCAAGTGCTGAATCTTTCAACTTGTATCACATTAAGAAACAGAAATGTTTACACATTATGTAAGCTGCTTCACAGCTATTTAAACTCTGCTTTCCTTAGCTACACAGGAACTCAAATAATGTCATCCACTTTTAAATCTCAGACATCACTGGGGAGGGAATTTTAAAAAATAACATGGAATTAAATTGCACCTTTAAGTTACTGTTTTGGCTCAGAAAGATGCGTGCATGCATACCAAGACATAATACTATGGGATCAACAAGATAGGCAGGTTTTTTTCATGTCAGTTAGAGACAAACTAAGAAGGTTTTGCATGAAAAAAACCCCTCAAATGGTCCCAATAGAGCTGTTGTTTTGACAACAAAATAATAATAATAATAATAATAATAATAATAATAATAATAATAATAATA